TCATAAGTACAAGGATTAAACTGGTGATTGCTAGAAGGGACGTGGGTGGAGGGATGGGTGAAACAAGGTAAAGGGGATGGAGAGGTACAATCTTTCAGGTATAAAATGAATAAGTGATGGAGATGTAAAGTGAAATAACAAGGAGTATAGTCAATAATATTGTAATAACATTGTATGGTGGCAGATGGTAATTATACTTACTGTGGTAAGCATTTTATAATGTAGATAAATGTTGAATCATTATTAATACATCTGAAACTAATATAATATTGTATGTCAATTAAACTATACTTCAATTAAAAAAAAAATGCATGCCTGGCCCATCCAGGTTATTCTAGAAATTAGGGCCTTGGAAAAACAAAAACAAAGTAAAGCATAGATATTCTAATAGTTAACAATGCAAAGGGAAGAAACAACAACAGAATAGACTATATTCAAGGAATTTAAAAGTAATTAAATAAAAGTATTCATTTATGGATCAAAAATGAAAGTATTTCATATGTCAAGGATTATGATTAATTCTATTCTGTGCCCCTAAGAGGGGGAGAGGGAGAGAAAGGCAATCCCCAAGTATTTATTTGAAATACAGATTGTTAAAAGTGTATGACAATTTTTGGAGCCATACTGTCTGGATTTGAATCTCAGCTCTAATACTCAGTAGCTTTGTGAACTGGGACAAATTACCTCGTCATGTCTCAGTTTCTGTGTCTATAAAATGAGGATAATATTAGTACTTCCCTCATAGACTGTTAAACGTAAGAACTCAAAATCTGGCACACAGTAAACATGATATAGTCTTTTTCTTTTTAAAGATTTTGTTTATTTATTTTTGAGAGAGTGGGGGGAGAGCGCACAGGAGAGAGCACGAGTGGGTGGGGGAGGGGCAGAGGGAGAAGCAGACTCCCCGCCAAGAAGGGAGCCCCTCTCAGGACTCGATCCCAGGGCCCCGAGATCATGACCTGAGCCGAAGGCAGATGCTCAACCAACTGAGCCATCCAGGCGCCCAATACAGTCTGTTTAATATGATTCTTATATGCTTTTAAAAGAAAGTTGAGGGAAGACAGGGTGCATGATGATGAGAAAACTGGACATGGAATTAGGACTCTTGAAATTTTTCCACTTTCATTGCTTTTTGTGATTCTAAGTAATCTACCCCTTTGGACTAGTTCCATCCTTGATAATAAAGGAAGTACTTACCATTCCATTTGTAAAAATTCTGAAAATCTGTGACTAAATTGAAATATCATTTATGCCACCTGTACCAATATCATGAATCCAACAAAATCATTCTTCATTCAGTTTGAAATATGTCCTTGTTTTTGTGACTAGGTCGTTCATCCTTAAAGTTTAGGGGTAGAAGCCAATAGGCAAAAAGGGACTTTTTCATTGATGAAGTATAAAATTAAACTCATGAGTTAATTATTCCTTGATATCCACTAAGATTTAAGAACAGAGATGATATACTAAATGCTTAATAAATATTTTTTATCACATTTTTAGTTTTATGAGTAGTTAAGATTCTAAATCAACCCTGGAGTTTATTTTATTAAAAGCATAATGATATCACTGAAAAATTCAGCTCTCTTCCACTCTTAAATGTTTTTAATGTAACAACTTCTGACTAAATAATTTTTGTATATGAAGAACTATCACAAGACAAGGGCCACATAAACATTTGATGAACCGCGTTGGAGAATTCACTGAAAACATTACTCAACACAATAGAACTCTGATCTATCTGATGAGATTGTAGAAATTTATTTCTACTGCCAAGTTATCTAGTATTTATGAATACCAAGGAAACAAAATTCCTCTATCTAAATCTATGATTATATCTATTGTAGCACTTACTGGTCTTTAAAAGTCATTCCTGCCTGTATAAGTGTAAAAGTGTATATATCCCTACAGCCCATGTTTTTGATGCCTAACCTAATACTTGCCAAGGGTAGGCCATCTACTCAGCATACGCATTTGTAGTATAATAGTTGTGCATTAATATGCAAGTGTACAATAAGTAAATGTACAACATTTCATATGATTGCTTTGGAGTGTCATTAAAGTACATAAGCATATAAGATACTGGGCAGATAGTAGATAATACATGTGGCTACTGTATCAGCATATAATATTTATTACATATTTAAGTACCTTAATGTCTTGTAAGTTGTGGTATAGATATATAGCCACCTGAGAAATAATTAGTATTTACTACAAAAAAATCACCCTGGGGGCACCTGGGTGGCTCAGTTAGGCATCTGACTCTTCATTTTGGCTCAGGTCATGACCTCAGGGTTGTGAGATTGAGCCCTGCATCAGGCTCCGCGCTAAGCACGGAGTCTGCTTGAGATTTTCTCTCTACCTCTCCCTCTGCCCCTACACTTATTCCTGCTCTCTCTCTCTCTAAATAAATAATGAAAATCTTTAATAAAAAAAGCAAACCCCTGAATACTTTCATTATCATTGAAAGTAATTATAGTAGCAATCAGTGATCTAGTGTAATCAAGGGCCTAAGATAAATTGATGTATTAAAGTTATTTATAATTTGTATGGAACCAGAAAAGACCCCGAATAGCCAGAGGAATGTTGAAAAAGCAAAGCAAAGCTGGTGGCATCACAATTCCAGACTTCAAGCTTTATTACAAAAGTGTAATCATCAAGACAGTATGGTACTGGCACAAAAGCAGACACATAGATCAATGGAGCAGAATAGAGAGCCCAGAAATGGACCCTCAACTCTATGGTCAACTAATCTTCAACAAAGCAGGAAAGAACATGCAATGGGAAAAAGACAGTCTCTTCAGCAAATGGTATTGGGAAAATTGGACAGCCACATGCAGAAGAATGAAACTGGACCATTTCCTTACACCACACACAAAAAAAGACTCAAAATGGATGAACGACCTAAATGTGAGACAGAAA